GAATTTAGACATTATAGAGTTCAGCCAGCTCGGCGTGGTGATAAATGGGAGAAAAAACCAATATTATTTAATGAAATAAAAAATGAAAGAATATTGTATAAAAAAGTATTGAAAACAGGAATAGAAATAAGTATAAAAAAATTATTAAACAATTAGAAAAATTTTATGAAGAAAATCCATTGTTATTTTGGAAACCACATCACCCTAAAGCCAAAATAGAATTGACAGAAAATGTTATAATAAGAATTAGACCAATGATGTATATTACAGAAGATACACAAGAATTCAAAAATCAGATAAAAGAATTGTTAGAACAAAAATTTATTAGACCTAGCAATAGATCTCATAGTAGTCCAGCCTTTATGGTTATGAAATATTCTGAATAGGTTATAAGAAAAGTTAGGATGATTACAAATTATAAAGAATTAAATAAATATACTAAATTTGATGGATATTTTCTACCAAATAAAGAAGTTTGAATAAACATTGTAAAAGGAAAACAATATTATTCTAAATTCGATTGTAAATTAGGATTTTGGCAAACAAAAATGGAATAAGATAGTATACAATATACTGTATTTAGTATACCTCAAAAAAAATATGAATGGTTAGTAATGTCATTTGGATTAAAAAATGCACCACAAATATATCAAAGAAAAATGGATAATATATTTAAAAAATTTAATGAGTTTTTAATTGTTTATATTGATGATATACTGATATGTTCTAACAGTAAAGAGGAATATAGGAATCATTTAATACAATTCATAAATGAATGCAAGAAAGAATGAATTGTACTTTCTAAAAAGAAATCTATAATAGAAAAATAAAAGATAGATTTTCTTGGATTATCAATAGATAAAAAAGGAATAAAATTACAGACACATATATCTAAAAAAAATGAAAGTTTTCCAGATAAATTAGAATCCAAATAACAAATAAATTTTTTTTTAGGATATTTAAATTATGCAAAAGGTTTTATTGAAAATCTTTCTAAGAAAATGCATAAAATACAAACTTTACTTTAAAAAACAAATATTAAAGGATGTAATGAAGAACATTCAAAAATAGTTAAATCATTAAAAGAAGTGTGCAAAATTTTAGCAAAATTAAGATTATCAGATGAAAAAAATAATTTGATTGTTAATACTAATGTCTCAGATAAATATTGGACAGTAATATTAAAAACAGATTTAAATGAAATTTGTAGATATTCAAATGAAACTTTTAATCAAGCAGAAATAAATTATATCACTCATGAGAAGGAATTATTAGCAATTATTAGAGAAATAAAAAAGTTCTCATTATTTTTGTTATTCAAAAAATTTATTTTTGAAACTGATAATTTTCAAGTTGTAAGATTAGTCAGGAATAAATTACCATCAAAACCTCAATATAGAAGGCTCCATAGATGGGAAGCTTATTTAGTATTTTATAATTTTGATATAGTTCATATTAAAGGAGTTAATAATTTTCTTGCAAATTTTCTCAGTAGATACATAAAATTTGCTGATGGATAAAGCTAAAGTCGTGGAATTATACCAATCTATCTTACATATACAAAAAAAGGACAGATTTTCTTAAAGAATAATCTAAAGATATAAATACTGGAGCAACACAGATATCAGAAATGTTCAACTCAAATATAAGAATATTGTTGAATATTAGTACTGAGCATCATAAAGAGGTCATAGAGCTCAAAAATCAAGTTGATGCTGTTGATACTATTGCAGCACAACTAAAAGATATACTATCTGAAACAGATATACCAAGAGATCAGATATGAGTTTTCTAAATCAATACCAAATAGGGATAGCTGGAAGCAGTAGTGGACCCAGACGTGACAATATACCAACTAATAAAAAAGCATATTTCATTTCAGTATCATCAACCAAAAAAGTGATAATACATGGAGATAAAAGAGATTTCAAAACAATCAGCATCATAGATCAAGAAGAGAAAATCTCTTTAGATCTAAAAGAAGAAAAATATGCTGAAATAGTCAGAATTGCTTATGAAATAAAAATGAGTTATTCATATTTCATCTCTCCGAAAAATAATGTTTATCCCAAAATGACAGCTATGGAAGGAGGAGACCATTCATTTATAAAAATTATGGTAGACTATGAATTTATAGATTTGATATATCCAAGGAAAGATTTGATAGAAATTTCGAAATTTGATGATATATTCATAAAAGAAGTATCTAGATTTGCCAAAGGACGAAAAATATATTTGAAATTTTACTCAATAAGTCCTGAATATGATGGAGTTGTTTACTATCCAGTTGAACACATAATCTCAATTGGATATGTTGCAGCCAATTTTCAAATAGATGTGGTGGAAAATGATAGAAAAGTTCCAACAGTGACAAAATCATGGATCAGACGTAGAAGAGCACTTGAAATTAAAGTCATATATAACATTGCCAAAAATTTGTTAGACAAAAAATTCTAATGCCTGTGCCAATATGAAAACTGGATGTTGGTATCAAATCAAGGACATGGAAAATCAGAAATATTGAATAATTATATTACAAAATTCGAAATACATCAATTTTCAGGATTTCATACTACTATAAAAGAATTCTGTCAACTAAGAGAGTGCTCCAACTGCATGTGAAAGAAGAAAACAATAATAGAGCACCTTTGACAAAGAAGAAAAAATGAAGTCGTATTGTGTAATGCATTTGAAAGAAGAAAAATAATAGAGAGACAAGTGTGCATTTGCTGATGTACTCAATGATGTAATAGAATTTTATAGACTTGTATAAATAGAAGCATTGTAATAGATAGGGAGCATCTTGAAATCAAAGTATTTTCTCTCAAATTGTAAGCTCGATTTGTAGGGGAGAATCAACATTTTTAAAACCAATTTTTTTTGGAAATCCCTTTGTGCCAAATAGAAGCCTTGTATAAATTCTGATAGGAATAAAATTCCAATATTTTGATATCAATATGAGTTTCTAAATCTTTTTTCTCATAGATTCTTGAAAGATCAAATAGAAAGTTTCATTCTTATTTTAGCAAAAAAATAGTTTTTTTTCAACAGAAGTCTAGAATTCTATTCTTTAGAATTAATACAGTGAGAGCAAGAAACTGAAATAATAAAGATTCTGTGAAGGCAGGAGGCCGTTGAAGGAAGCAGTTTACATATTCAGAGCTCAAAGGTCACTCGGTTCAAAGAATAAAAATCTAGATCAAATCTAAGGTAAAGCTATTAATTTTTTTCTAAAATTAGAATGAATTTTTTTAGATCTTAGAGAATCAAAGGGGATTAATTGCATGATTTGATGATTAGTTATATGATTAAATGCCAGAATATACAATTAAACGATTAGATAATTTATTAGAAAGAATGTTTGAAAAAATAAAAAATATATATTATCAATTAGAAAATATGGATGCATCTTCTGAAGAATATAATATATTAAATAATAAATGTGAACCATATGTTGCAGATTATTCCAATTTATTAGATTATAGAATGAAATTATATTCAAATATTCAAAATAGAGTAAATATAAGATAAAATATTTAAAAGATTATGATATATGTTGCAATATATAAAGAATCATTTCATTAAGGGCAATATAGACTTTTTCTTGAAAAGGAATAGTGATATGCCAAATAGAAAAATCCCCCACAAATGTTAGCTAATAATTTTGTATGAAGACAATACAGATTATATTGCACAACTCAAAGGAGACTATATCAAAGGTGACAGGACGGAACATATTTTTCCAAGATTCTATCATACAAATGAGTTTCAGAAAAATGGCGACATTGATATCTAACAAATTTGCTCAAGTGACAATGTGACCGATTTATTCATAAAAACACCGCCAACATCTACATTTAAGAAATTAGTTCATGAGATTGAGATGCGTCGATTCAAAAATTTTCAGTAACCAACATTAGGGTGAGTAGTTGTACACTTTTTCTTTAGCTTAGGTTTGTCCTATTGAGTTTTCCTAGCAAGGTTTTAATAAGGTAGCATTTATTTTTAATATTCCAAAATAACTGTGCTCTTTTTCCTTCTTTTTGATTTTTTTCCCATTGAGTTTTTATTAAACAATGTTTTAATAAGGCAGATATTTTATAATGTGTCATTCAAAGGGGAGTGTTGTAAAAGGTAAGTTTATTAGAGTTTAGAAGTGAATGACAATTATACCCCTGCGGCCCTAAAAATTATTATTATTGTATCCCTAATTCTGTTTTATAAATACAGGGTTTTGGTTCTTAATAAAATACACACAAGTCTACTGACTTCTCTTTTCTTCACTTTTATAACAGTTCTTTATTTTTTTTCTTTTTGTTTTATTTAAATAAAAGGGTATATTCGTCATTTGACAACTTTTAATTGGGAAAGTGGATGAAAATAATGATTTCTATAATAAAATGTGGAAATGCTAATAAATGAAAGGTGGGGACTTTTTGCACAGTAATAATAAAAATTAGGGACGTTTTGTATTAGCCCTTGTTTGAGCCACATTATATTCCTACGAATGCATTTTTGAATAGTATATTTATAGAAAATGTGATTGAAATGATATCAAATCACTATTTAAGAATGTATTTTTTTGAAAAAAATGTGGTTCAAACATAGCTTTAATTACCCAATGTATAATTATAGTTTTCTTTGAGAAATTATCTATGAGTTCCTCAGGCATGTTTGATATAGATTTTTTGAAAATAAAATTTGTGAAAACTGATTTTTTTTTTTTTTTAATACATAAAATTGTGCAGCCACAAAGTAGGAAAAAAGTCCTTAGAACCGATCAATAGCATGCAGTAATGCCTCATTTATGACTGGATGTTTGTGTTTCTCAAGTATAATTTTAATGCATTACTCCAATTTTTACTCCAATGCAAAATGAATTGCTTCAACGGTTCTTTGTCACACAGCATATGGCAATGTTCTTTTGTACTTCCGGGCCTCCGGCAACTTGAAAAATGAAAAAACAAGACTACCATTTTTTTTATAATATGACAAGCATGTGCACGTACCAATATATTCCATCCATAAACCCAACAGAATAAACCAATCTTCCAAGTTCCAAATAAACAAAAGAATCAGATACATAAGAACAATTTACACAAGGCAATCAAATTGATATTCAAATAAGACACCATAGCAGATTTTTTATTCAAGTACTCCTATCATATACTGAATTAAATGTCATGGTGGCCTGAGAAAAATTTCTTGTAGTGGACAATGTTGAATCCAAGTGCTCAGAGCCGAAAGATGTGTAACTGGAAGAGGTGTGATTGATATCAGGCATAGGCTTAGAGTTCGGTCTAACTTTCATGTCCATGATGTCAGAGATTAATCCCGGTCTTGTTATCTTAATATTGTCAAGATTCTTTTCACCGCTCAGCAATTGGACAATGGTTGACATAGATGGTCGAAGATTCGGAGAATCTTGAGTGCAAAGAAGACCGATCTTTAAGAATCTGCAAGCTTGTTCAGCATCAAAATCTCCATTTAATGATGTGTCTACCAGAGTTACCAGCTCTCTTCTCTGGTAGAGTCGCCATGTCTGCAGCAAAGTTTTCACAGCCTTTTAGGAGGTTGGCAATCAAAAAAGATCTTGAGATATGAAATAGACACAGTAAACTATCATTGACATTTTTGTTATTTCCGTCCATCTTCAAGATACAATCATTTTTAAAGTTCAATTAGGCCAATGGAGAAACTTGAAGCCTTGTGTATGGAGAACAAACAAGATTAATCAAACTCAATGACATCTAAACTTAAATTGAATAGGTACCATTAAAACTATAACAAAGAATCTAAAGCAAGCCTGGGGGAATCTTTGAAAGAAATGAACAGCATCCAAATGCCTCATGGAAATAAACCAGCAGTTAAAACATCCAAGTATACTCTACAGTTTGGCGTGACTGATGTTTGTAACCCTTGACCAAAACTAGAATACTACATTTTATGAGTTTACTGGTCATGAAATTAAAATTTATTACTACCACAACCACAAAGGTGCATCTAATTCAATACTGTGCACTGAAATTACCTTGACTTAATTTCGTAATATCTTCCACCTTCAAATATAGATTATTAGTTTTATTAACTTAATTTGTTACTAATTTATTCCTTTAGATATTTGTGCACTTCCGTATGTTCTTTTTTAATTTTTTGGGGGAGGTGAGGGGATGTCAGAAAAGCTAATGAAGAAACTTGGCCGCAGTATTATCGTTCTTATTCTATCTTTTGCCTCCGATCGTAACTCAAGAAATACTTTCCAACAGAACCTACTAGTAACTATGCAAATGGTAATACATAAACCATGAAACTGGTTTCAAAAAAATACACACCCTTTCAAGAATATACTGTTCATCAACGGGTAATTGCATGTTTGTGTTGCATCTCCCAGTGACTATTTCAATAAGAAGAACCCCGAAACTGTAAATATCAGCCTTACGTGTCAACTTGCCTACAATTGCATACTCTGGTGCCAAATAACCTCTGCAACAACAGACAGAGATATTCCACAATATGTTATATTTGGGATGTCATCAATTGAATAAAATATTAAGCCCCAGTTTGACCCCTATTTTAAGTATTTAGAATAGTGGATAGAAAATAGGCAAAAGTTTTGAATTTATGTGAAATTATTTTACGGGAGAATGTGTGGTTAAAAATAAGTTTTGAAAAAAAAAAGAGTTTTGAGAATAATGGGAATCAAACAGGCTAAATGTAATTTATTGGACCATAATATTCATCATCAACACGGAAACCATTAAATCATAATCTATCAAAAGCATACGAAATAACAGAGGAAAAGTGATTGAAATCTGAATCTAGAAGGCAATATGTTTTCAAATCAAATCCTTAATGAACTTCAAGGTTGTGATTTAAGGGGCAAATGCATGCTTCGAACAGTTAGAGAAGAATTTGCAACTTACATGGTTCCTGCCACACGTGTACTGACATGACTCATTTCAGGAGGGATGAGCCTTGCAAGACCGAAATCTGAAATTTTAGGTGTCAAATCTTTGTCGAGCAGAATATTGCTCGCTTTGATATCTCGGTGGACAATGTGTGGCTGCAATTCCTCATGAAGATAGGCGAGTCCCTTTGCAACTCCAATGCAAATTTTAACCCGTGTTCGCCAGCTAAACTGGATTCGGCTGTGACCCTTGCCTGAATCAGGATGTCAAAAGACCGTCAGAGTGAGAAGCAATCATCATAACAAACTCTTTTGGTGAGAAAAAGTTTATATATCACACGAGGTCCTAAGTTTGGTGTCTATTATCAGGGAGTCACATAAACACTAATCTTGGTGCCTGTTTCACTAAGCTTGGAAAGCATATATACAAGTAAATAACTATAATTTAAAATAAATATTATTTTTGTTAATCAAAGTTGGAAAAAAAAAAGTCATTTTGAAATTATACAATATCATACTGTTGAAACAAGTAACTATATTACTTATAAGCAGAAAAAGAAGCAATCTATCCAAACATGTTGGAACCTTTAGTTACTTTTTTCCCGACATCCTGAATTTGGGAGAGCGAATCTCTCCTTTTTGCAGGGAACAGAGCAGTGTTTTAACCAAACATGCCAGTAGTTCTCAATTTTTTCTTCATCTCATATTTGAACAACATTTTTATATATTAACAAAAATTAGAACAGCCAGTTACTAAAGACAATGCCAATAAAAAATAGGAAAGTAACAATACCAAGAAGCGTTTGTGCTAGGCTGTTATTCTCGAGATAAGGGTAAACAAGAATTCTTTGATTGTCTTCAACACAACAACCATAGAGCTTAACTAAATTTTCATGCTCTACATCCGAGATCAATTGAATCTCTGTCAAAAACTCTTTTACTCCTTGACTTGATTCCGTAGAAAGAACCTTTATTGCTGCTATCTGCCCAGTCCTAAGTTTTCCCTGCTTACATAAGAATTTTTTTTTAAAGAAACAGAAGTCAGTCTTCAAATTAAAAAATAATAACTAACTACGATTATGTACAAGGAAAAAGAAAAAGGTGAAGAGAAACTCTGGTTACCTTATAAACCGAACCAAATCCTCCTTCCCCAATTTTATTGATTTGACTAAAATCATTAGTAGCAGTTCTCAGTTCCTTGTAGGAGTACAGAGTAACATTGTGTATTCCAGAGAGCTCTGTTTGTAATTCAACTTTGTTAGGATTGTCTATGTAGAACAAATAGGTTGATAGAAATAGGATTCATGCATAGCTTGTTCAAGCGTTTGCAGAGGATGCTCAAGAAGAATATACAGATATAATGTTGTCTATTTCAAAAGTTTGGCCACTTTCATCTAGATATAAAATTTAGGGTTTACCATTATTGAGCTCAGGTGAACGACTCGTAGCAGATTCCAATTTTCTACCACATAAGAAAGGCAAGCAAGTCATAACTGTAAAATCTACCACTGGTTCTCGCCACTAAAACTACACGCAGAATGCTTCAATGGGAAAGAATGCGCAACCTGCCAAATCAGATCATTTTATTTAATAAAACCCTATTTAATTTGGTCTGCATTTAAGAAAAGATTGTGGAAGAATGCGTTAGTATAACATTGTGAATTGAACCTTGTGCTCATTGAGTAAAGCAACCTCAGCAATAGTTTACATAAGTAAATGGATAATCACACCACAATTAGGTTGGTAAAGATCCATGTTTGCTAACACGGTGTTAGAGTCGGGTCAGCTGGATATCAGATACACATCCCTTCAAAGGGCTTCTATGACTATATGTCTGTTGATTGATATATGCAGTTAAAATGCCAACATCCTAGAAATGGGTTTCAGCACCTATGATGTAGAACAAAGTTTCAAAGGGAAAATGCACGAAAGCATAAATCTTTTCTGAGAAGGGACTGATTTTCAGGTGACAAAAACAAGCATTGAAAGATCTTTCCCCGAAGGCAAAAAAAAAAAAAGGCAAAAAACTTCAGCTTCAACATATAAGTGGTTTAATTAATCTAGTCCAACAGTTCTTCCCGTTCCTCAATTACTTGTACAAAGATCAGAAGGCAAAGGTTCGTGCGACAACAATCGCAGCTGGGAAACTATAATTGTAAAGAGACAAGACAGAATTTTAGAATTAACAGGGAAAAATTAAAAACGAGAGAACATAACCATCATCCAATATGCTTCGTTTAATCATTTCAGCAGATCCATAAGACAAAAAATAACAAATAAAAAATTAAACCCCAGAATCATCTAATCGAAATAACATCAAAAAATTAAACATTTATACAACCAACAGTATCAAAATAACCTCGGATGAGAAAAATACATCAAAGTATCAGGAAATCAAGGAAAATTCTAGACAGAGATAGATGCAACTGTTGAGTTAGTAAAAATCAGGGTACGGCAGATACGAAAAAATCGTAGATCCTTGAATCCCTGACCAGATGAGTCTTCTTCGAAAGTGCGGAACCAAATGTGTAAGCTCTTGGAAATTTCACAAATACAAGTCATGGGTTTTTATTTCTTAAGTAATTTGTAGGTAATAATAACACCTCCTCCTGAAGAAGATTTGTATGAGAAAAATGGCAGTGGCCTTTGAGTTTTGACCCGTCTCCGGGCAAGTCGAGAAAAGTCAATGGCGCGTTTGCTAGCACGGCGTCGAAAATCCATCACTGGGTCTCTGTTCCTCCTTTCAAAGTTTTCCTCAATTAGCCCCCCTTTGGTCCCTATTTTTGGGAAATAAAAATGGATGGAATAGTATTTTTTTTTGAAAAATTAGTGGTTGAAAGAAAAAGAAAATTTTTCGATTTACGTGTAATATTATTTTATAGAAGATTATGTGGTTGAAAATAGGAGAGAGAAAAATGTAATATAATATAATGTAATTAAACGGGGGCCAAACGGGGGCTTATAAATGTTTGACGCAGGAATGATTACACCGTTAAGAAATTTGTGGCGGACAGAATACTGTATCCTCGTTAGTCTTGTCCTAAGTGGGGACATGTACCTGTTAGAAATTAAAATTAACTTTAATCAAATATTTCATCAGATTCCGAACTTTTCAAGAGAAATAAAATTAACAACTTTTATAAAAATCTACTAAAATTTTGATTTTAATCCACATTTCTATATATGTTTATATTTTTAAATGTATTGTTTTCCATTTTAATAATAAGAATGTATTTTGAAATAATAAATTGATGTAAATTAAGTGATTAAAAAAATAAGAAAAAATTTTAAATTTGCATTTAATATTATTTTATTGAATTAAAAACTCATTTTCAACCACACATTTTCATATAAAATAATTTTACACGTAAATAAAATTTTTTATTATATGTAATTTATAAGTATAATTTATCTAAACAAATTTTGAAAAGTGCAAAAATAAATATTACACAAGCAGTTTTGGAGCTCGGCTAAATTAGTCATCAATCATCGTCGTGCTATAATTTTAGAATAAGTAGGTTTAAAATAGTAGATTTCAAGCTTACAAATTGAAGATGTTATAGTTTATAAAATACTCTTAAAAATCATAGATTATGTAATTAAAATATTGATGGTGAAAACTTATAATTTATCTTCAAATTAAATGAAAAGAAACCGTGTGGAATAATTTGATGAAACAAGAGTTGACCTTAAAGTATGTTTGATAATCAATCATGGAACAAGTTGATCCATTGATGAAGCAAAACATTGTCCTAACTCCTAAAATTCTTTTAGAAGTTTCTATTTATGATTATTTTTTTACATATTTTAAATATTTATTTTAATCACTCATTTTATAAGATTCATAAATATGATCCACTTATTAATTATTCATTTCTAAAAAAGTTAAATTTTAACAAAATAAAATAACACTCAAACAAGGCCAATAAAAATTATTAAATATTGGTATATAAGACGTGGGAACAAAAAATAAAAATAAATATCCACTAGAAAAGTCTAAGGTCAATCCTCAACAATTAACGTGTCTCAAGCTTGCTGGCCATTAGAATGACATCCTCCTAATTCTAATCTTGAAATTGACACATTTTACATTTATTTTTGTTTGACTGAAGATAAGGAAAAATTAGAGAAAAAGAATAAAAGGTTGACGTCACTTTTGAAAAAATTGATTAATTATAGACAATCTAGACCATGTTTGATGCTCATTAAAACGAATTTTGGACGAAAATAAATTTTGAAATAGTGATTTTTTTCGGAGAATGTATGGTTTAGAAGTAGGGAAAAAATTTTGAATTTAAGTGTAAGATATTTTATTTTGAAAATATGTAGTTGAAAATATTTTATTTTATCATTATTAGTTTTTTTGAAAAGTTTTTGAAGAATAGTAGACAAATAGAGCTTTAGTGTCTTCATTTTATTCCGTACTAAAGCTAACATAAATATATTAAAGAGGAAATTACTAAAATAGTCAACTTTGCATTTGCAAAAAATGTCACTTTAAAAAAAAAAAAAATCAAGATTGTCAATTTTGGACTTTTTTGCCCCTCTTAAAAATTTAAATATCCTACACATTCTTGAATTGACAACATAAAAAGTTGTGTGTATATATATATATATATATATATATATATATAAGCAAAATTTATTAACTTTTCACATTCATTTTTATCTCTCTAGTCGTTTCTTTGCAAAATTTCTCTTTTCTTTCTTCTTTTTTATGTTTCTTCCCTCGATTCTTTGAAAATTATATGAAGTACAAGTTCTTGCATTAGAATCATGTTTATTATATCAATACAAAATGAAGAAGAATATCGTAGGTAAGGTTTCGAATATATGAGTTTCTTTAGATTGATTGAATATTTTGTTTCAAGATTTTTATTAATATTCATATTTTATTTTTATTTTTTGTCTTTCTCTTAGATTGCATAATCAATTTTGAGTTTCCTACATTTAGACTGCGAGTTAGATTGTTCTCTGTTTTGAGTTCGGCTTTGTTCAGAGTGTACATTTACAGGTAATTTGGATTTCTCCATTTTTTTGGGGTTTATATTTTTTTGGGCATTTTGATTTTTTCTAATTTTTTTGGGTATTATGTATAAATTTTTTTTTATATTTTTCTAAAAAAAACATTTCACATTCTATCAATTTTTTACTTTATATTTCTCTGAATTTATTTGGTTTGTGAAAGCTGATTATTGTATTATACTTGTCATTCCAGCCTACCTTATTTATTATATCTTTCTATGTTAGGCATGGGTATCGAATCTTCTAAGCGAAATGTTTAATTTGTCATAATGAAAGTTTGGACAGTTATGAATTCTCGACACAAGAACTTCTCGAAAGATCAGTTATGTAACCCATCTATCGCGATAAACTGTCATTCCCGACAATTCGTTTAAGTTATTCTCGACAGATGAGTTATCCTTCGATATAAACTGTCATTCTCGAAGTTAAAGGTAGTATTTCTCAAACATTATAGTTTGTTTTTTGATTTCTTATACGTGTGTTTAACATTAACATCTGAAAATTTCAAAATTTTAAATACACTCATCTCATTTCGTAATATGCAAACTAGAAATATTGAATTCATGTCCATTAGTATCGTAATTATTGTTTTCAATTAGATGGAGGATGCGTCAACCTGTGCTCCGATAATCATGAGGTCTATTGCCTAGTAAGAACTAAAAGAAAAGCCCAGAATCATCTAATCGAAATAACATCAAAAAATTAAACATTTATACAACCAACAGTATCAAAATAACCTCGGATGAGAAAAATACATCAAAGTATCAGGAAATCAAGGAAAATTCTAGAGAGAGATAGATGCAGCTGTTGAGTTAGTAAAAATCAGGGTACGGCAGATACGAAAAAATCGTAGATCCTTGAATCCCTGACCAGATGAGTCTTCGAAAGTGCGGAACCAAATGTAAACTCTTGGAAATTTCACAAATACAAGTCATGGGTTTTTATTTCTTAAGTAATTTGTAGGTAATAATAACAACTCCTCCTGAAGAAGATTTGTATGAGAAGCCTTTGAGTTTTGACCCGTCTTCGGGCAAGTTGAGAAAAGTCAATGGCGCGTTTGCTAGCACGGCGTCGAAAATCCATCACTGGGTCTCTGTTCCTCCTTTCAAAGTTTTCCTCAATTATAAATGTTTGACGCAGGAATGATTACACCGTTAAGAAATTTGTGGCGGACAGAATACTGTATCCTCGTTCGTCTTGTCCTAAGTGGGGACATGTACCCGTTAGAAATTAAAATTAACTTTAATCAAATATTTCATCAGATTCCGAACTTTTCAAGGGAAAAAAAATTAACAACTTTTATAAAAATCTATTAAAATTTTAATTTTAATCCACATTTCTATATATATTTATATTTTTAAATTTATTGTTTTCCTTTTTAATAATAAAAATACATTTTGGAATAATAAATTGATGTAAAATATGTGATTAAAAAAATAAAAAAAAGTTTTTGAATTTGCATTTAATATTATTTTATTGAATTAAAAACTCATTTTCAATCACACATTGTTCTATAAAATAATTTTACACGTAAATAAATTTTTTTATTATGTGTAATTTATAAGTATAATTTATCTAAACAAATTTTGAAAAGTGCAAAAATAAATATTACACAAGCAGTTTTGGAGCTCGGCTAAACTAGTCATCAATCATCGTTGTGCTATAATTTTAGAATAAATGGGTTTAAAATAGTAGATTTCAAGTTTACAAATTGAAAATGTTATAGTTTATAAAATACTCTTAAAAATCATAGATTATGTAATTAAAATAATGATGGTGAAAACTTATAATTTATCTTCAAATTAAATGAAAAGAAACCGTGTGGAATAATTTGATGAAACAAGCGTTGACCTTAAAGAATGTTTGATAATCAATCATGGAACAAGTTGATCCATTGATGAAGCAAAACATTGTCCTAACTCCTAAAATTCTTTTAGGAGTTTCTATTTATGACTTTTTTTAAATATTTTAAATATTTATTTTAATCACTCATTTTATAAGATTCATAAGTATGATCCACTTATTAATTATTCATTTCTAAAAAAGTAAAATTTTAACAAAATAAAATAACACTCAAACAAGGCCAATAAAAATTATTAAATATTGGTATATAAGACGTGGGAACAAAAAATAAAAATAAAAATAAAAATAAATATCCACTAGAAAAGTCCTTGGTCAATCCTCAACAATTAACGTGTCTCAAGCTTGCTGGCCATTAGAATGACATCCTCCTAATTCTAATCTTGAAATTGGCACATTTTACATTTATTTTTGTTTGACTGAAGATAAGGAAAAATTAGAGAAAAAGAATAAAAGGATGACGTCACGTTTGAAAAAATTGATTAATTATAGAAAATCTAGACCATGTTTGATGCTCATTAAAACGAATTTTTGACGAAGATAAATTTTGAAATAGTGATTTTTTTCGGAGAATGTATGGTTTAGAAGTAGGGAAAAAGTTTTGAATTTAAGTATAAGATATTTTATTTTGAAAATATGTAGTTGAAAATATTTTATTTTATTATTATTGTTTTTTTTTTTTGAAAAGTTTTTGAAGAATAGTAGACAAATAGAGCTTTAGTGTCTTCATTTTATTCCGTACTAAAGCTAACATAAATATATTAAAGAGGAAATTACTAAAATAGTCAACTTTTGGCTTTGCATTTGCAAAAAATGTCACTTTAAAAAAAAAAAAATCAAGATTGTCAAT